TGCCTTTTCCCAGATACCATATACTGGACCCCTATCGGCAACGGCTCTCTGTAGGTCCATCTTGTTCTGTCCCCCTCGCGGCGTTCAACGTTCGCCCTTTAAGACAAATAAGTCAGCAGGCTGCACTCACACGGACGTTGGGCACCCTTGGTGCTGTGGTGTTTTGTGTGTCCGAATCCGGACGTGACCTTAAGGATCACAAACCTGCTTTGTAATCTAAGGGTGCGGGTTTGAGCCTGCATAGGGACCGGACGAACGTCGTAGTATTCTTAGCCCACGTACGACTGTTGGTGGTTGCGCAGCAGCGAAGCCTCGGTACTGAGTACCGCTGTACTTCTGATACCTAACCCTTACCGAAAGTAGGACCAATTTCTCACATATGGTTGGATGTTTAATTAACTGCACCTGGCTTACTCTGTCGCTATTGTTTGCACGCACCCGGCAACGCTGATACGACAACAACTGGTCAGCTCCAAGGCTGGGTCATCGTCTTTTGATTGGATTTCCGTGAGTAACAATTTGTGTGCGACGCCTTTGACATCAACTAAGGTTGATTTACGAATTACTTCTAGACGCTGGCTTCCGCTTCTGCTCACACCGACTGCATTTTTGATGCTGCCAAAGACGTATTCTACCACAAACTGAACGCGATACTACACAGTGTTACCAGATCAGATATCGTTGTTGTTGTTGCAAGGGTTATGAATGCACAAGTAGGACGTCTGAGCTCTTTAGTAACTTGACTAGGTGCTAAGTATGGACCTTTAAACCAGAGGTTGCTTTTTCCCTGTACTATCGTTTTTACAATGTTTTCTGCGGATACATCAGTTAGCTGGGAATATTTTTGCGTTGTCGTTAACGACACAAATTCCAAGGTCGCCCTTGCTGTCCTTCACCCATTTGTTGGGAAAATATCAAGATGCTGAATATTGTGCGCGATTCCTTATCAAGTACCGTTTCGTTAAACTAGAGAGTGCTTCTCTCAGATTGTAATACTGACTTTCAACGCTGTCTCCTCAACGGAATATAATTTCTGATTGTTCTTCCCATAAATCTGTAACCTGTGATTGCTTATACCAGAGCGTTTACTTTATTGACACCTGTGCACGGTGTTCTTTTATTCATACATATCGCCATTTCCGTAAATGTACCTTCACCCTATCCGTAGTTGATGTTGTAAAATGCTGAAAATGTGCTCATCTGGGCTTATTTGGAATTGACTTGACTTGTACGGAAAACAACAAGCCTCTGTTGCAACTGTGCTCCGAGGACTGACTGTTTCTTAATAGCACCGCTTTTAGACACAGTGAGCGCCGATGTGCCACTTGACATCTTCCTGTATCCGACCAGCAATAAACCTGAATTGATCGCATAGCGTGGTTCTATTCTGGATTGTAGCTTGTTCTGTAAAATCTGCGTTGATTCTGATTGTGTTTTGGCACTGTCCTTTTTCCATCAACTCTACTGGGCGGCGTAACAACCGTGTTCCTTGACTGGCAGCTGAGTTATCTCACCCCCGGTCAGGGGAACCGACTAAGATGTCCTGCGTACCGAACTTTCACTCTCTCATCCTAATGACACTGAACATCAACAGAATAAGATCTCGGCCACGATGCGGGAGCCTCCGCTTGCGGCGCTATAAATCGCCACCGCGCCAATCACTGGGTCTCCGAGACATCGGTGAGCCTGGTGGAATCTAGAAGAAAACTCCCGGCTGGCTCCGAGCACAACGTAACCGGACGGACTATTAGGCACGAACTAAAACGGAGCCTGCGTGTTGACAAAGAAGCCTGGTGGACTGGTAGAGCTCAAGAAATGAAGGAAGCGGGAGCAGTAAGCCATTTTCACAGTCTTCCAACTAATCCGCACCACTGCTCCTAAAAAACCAGGCGTCACTGAAACAATTAGAGACAGCGCGCGTGCCCTGGTTCACAATAAGGAGCGCTGTATGGCTCGGTCGGCCGGTGACCGAGTGGTCTGCACGTTTGCTTTGCAACCATAAGGTCAACGATTCGAATCCGCGTATGGGGTGAGCGTCCTCGCGGTATACTGAGCCCGCGCGCGACTGGTGGTGGTCGCGCGGCAACGAAGCGCCGTTACGGCATACAGCTGACTGTTTTTTTTGTTTTTTTTTGCCGTATGGATCGTTTGGCGGAGCACTTTCGAGATTAGATCAGTTGGCCCGTTGCTTCTGGACCTCTTTCTACTCAGGTGGTGCAAGACCAGCCATGATCGATTTGTTTAGTGCCTCCGTCCGAGGCCGAGGTCCGAAACGCGATCACGGCCCTTAATCAGTTTCTTTCTGCTAGCCCGGATTCCCTCCCACCTGCACTATTTAAGGGTGGTGATGATCTCTGCAATACACTGACCTTTTTGTGTGAACAGGTCTCGAAGGCAGAGACCTTTCCAGTTAACTTGAGTGAATGGATTATAGTGGCACTACACAAGAAGGTCAGTTGCACTGACTGTGCTAACCGTATGGGGTATTAGCCTAACGCCGTTTGAGACAAAATTATTGACCTCAATTTTCGTTCGTCGCCCCAGTACGAAACGGGTATTCCGGCTAAGGGAAGCAGGCCGATTTCCACGCTCGACGAGGCTACATGAACCTGAAATTCACACTTCTGCACGTGCTAGAGCAGCGCCATACATAATTCAGGCTGACAATAATTATGTTCATAGATTCGAGGAGTGCTTCTGATTCAGTCGATCGATCCATTCTGTTCAAGAAAATTCTACCTGTCCTGTACTCGAACACCACAAGTCGTGTCAGGATCGTCAGTGACTTCTCAGATGTCTTTCAGACAACAAGTGGCGTTCGTCAGAGTTGGCCGATTTCCCCATTTTTATTCAACTTCGTCGTGGACTCCATCATGTAGTGTTCTCTCACCGAGTCTCAAGATGCCGGCGTTGAAGTACTGCCTCACGAAAAGCTAGTTGATCTTGTTTGTGCGGACGATATGGTCTTGCTGCTTGACGATGCTAAGACAGTACAGTCAACCCTAGATAACCTCTCTAGAGTAGTCCTGTCATTTGGCATAGGCCTCGCATCTTCAAAATGCAGTGTTGTCACAAGACTACCAACAACTTGCTAACCTCTTGACCCTTGATAACGCGAAGCTCGAGGTAGTTGCTCAGTTCATTGCATCAGCAATGACGACAATATAAGCACTGAACACCTTTTACCTATTGTAACATCTAGAATCTCCTTTATGAATATACGAGATATGTGGCGTCAGAAGGGGTTTCCCTCGGTCTGAAAGGCAGTGTTTACAAGGCCACCGGAGGGCGTCCAACTCAATGGGAGTAAGCATAGCCCGTTCGGCCGGCGGATCTGAAGCGACTTCAAGTCTTTTATCATCGTTGCCTGCGCAGGATTGCTGCTGTTGAATGGCACCAGCGTGTCCGCTACTATGATATGCGCTGGTGACCGCTTGGCCGTGATGATCATGGCTAGCCGAACTACCTCCTCGTGGTGTCAGCTGGGTGGTTCGAGTTTAACCCGTTCCAGCAAATAGTTCGGCGGCAGTCTTCCAGGACGTGGTGGGTTTCGCCTGGCAAGCGTTCTCCCTATAAAAAGCCACAAATGTCTGCTTAACAACACTGTGACGTGGCGGTCGTGACTCGCCACAAAATAAAGTCACTGCCCCGTGGATATCCGGATAATGGCATCCAACCCATGGACACCAATCTCCTACTCGCATATTGAGGACGATATCAAACATTGCAGATTGGATCAGCACAATTACAAGCACAAAATACACAACTACCTACACATACACACACAATGACATACATACCCCCTACAAAAACACAAACTTCTATGGCAAAAATATCGGATTTTTGCACATTCTTGATCATGCATAGTTATGTCAAAATGATCATGCCTGTAAAGGCGTGCCTCACCTTGTTGAGAATAAAAGATTTATTTATTTATTTATTGAGTGACTTGCGTTGGCTTGGGCACGTATTACGTATGCCCAGTTACTGATTACCGAGGAGGCCCTTGTTTTTTGCGAGATGAAGGGTGGCGCAAGGCTCGATGTGGGCAAAAGTTAAGTTGGTATTGAGAAATGAAGTCGCTGACTACAGAACTGCGTTCTGTTGGTCCGTCTCGCCTTTCTGACTAGAGTCTACGTGACGTGCTTTGGGCTTGCCTCAAGACGTTACAGGACATGGATCGCAGTCGGCACCAGCGGCGCGTCTGCTGTTGTCTCGTGGTCGGACTGCCCTTTTTTACTTATTTGCTGCTGGGTTATTTACAGGTAGTGGTTGATTATGACGCAGGACAGTTAAATAAATATGTTTGCTGTCTCTCCGATACTGCCTTACCTCAGAACGATGATGATCTTTTGTGACATTGTGTTGTTGACAAGGTATGGGCACCTTGACCATGAATATTTACTTAGAACATTAATGTTTCACATTAGTTCCTCTTCCCTCTTATTATTTTTTGTTGTGTAGATCGTGGCAGTTGTAGAGCATGGAAGCATTAATTCAAGTGTTTATTGTTGTTGTTGATCATCGAGCCCTCGATGCTCACTAATTGTGTCATGCCTCAAAGTAGCTATTTGATACGGCCATCATAACAGCCACTTATATGAAGCTTGGACACATAGATTAATAGCTGATGTTCATCGGTGGCACGCATTTAAGGCTCTATTTTTGTACTCACAACGGACATATTCATGTGATGCTAGTGGCAGCTTCTACTTGTGCTTATCCGGAAATACCGCACCTTTATATTCCAGTCAGGCCGGTTTAGGTATTCTGACTCAAGAGTTGAGAGGTTACTCGGACTGATTGGATCCCGGTCAGTGCACGATGATACCAGTTGTATTTGGCCTGAAGTACCATTTGTCATTATGCCGTTGTAGGCGCATATAACCCCACCATCGTCTGTATGATTTCACCACTTTATTCGCTCACACATCTCCTTCTTTGCTTATCATCGGTCTTTCACTTACGCGTTTTTATTTCTTCGTAATATTTATTCTCAGGTCTTTTGAACCACAGCTGTTCTCCGAACGCAATGATTCAGTTCACAGGTGCAAACAGCCGTTTGGCTGTTGTCGCTTTGCAACCGATCCAGCCCGATGAAGAAATCACGATAAGCTATTTGGAGAGCTGTCAACAAGCCAGAAGTCGACATTCGCGACGGAAACTTTTGTCCACAAATTACCTTTTCTGGTGTGAGTGTCCTCTCTGTGAGGCGGAAAAATTGCCTGCTGGATGCGTTAGTGAAACATCCGAAGATGAATCTGATTCTGAGGATGGACAGGATGAAAGTTGTTCCGAGGAAGCGTTGGTAGTGGACTGAATAGTCGAAACCACGCAAACGTCAGCTGTTCTGAAGATACGTGCCCTATTTTATCTGTGAACATATTGCAGACTTTGGGTAATATAACGGAAATGATAGTGGACGGTCATTGCTTTTCATTTGCGCGCATGTTGCATCGCTCTGATTGTTCGCTGACTGTTTTATTGCTGTATCATTGTTGTGCAGGGGAACCCTCCATTCCATCATTTTTGTAAAATGTTGTTATAGCGTACCAGTAAATTCAGTAATAACTAGTAGCCCCTTAACCTGTATTCGGCTTCAGTTAATTACCGTTCCTCCTTTATTCGTTTGGTAGATGAACCTCTCTCGGGGTTTCGTAAGCAGCATATTTTATTTGAACCACGGGTTTTACACACATAGATTTCAACAGGTACTTATCATTACCGGGATCAATTTGCTTCACGACCTCCCGTCTATACATCGAGTTCATATCCCTCACACATACATCCGTAATTCTGCAGTTGCGCAGCCATCTTAGGTTGGAATTAATAAGGAAATCGGGTCACACCTTTTTCACGCGACTGCCCATCTATTGTGTCTCACTGGTTAAGGCAGAGTTGTCGGTGAATGTAGACCCTGGACATGCATCCTGCATGATCTTCCCCCTCGTACTACGAGGGCAGAGCAATAAATTTCTGGATACTCAGAATACTAACTAGGTACAGATGACTCGACAAGAAAATGTAAACATTGTTCGGTGATTTCAACTCACTGAACCCTATATCAGCAGTCCAGCTCAGCTCATAAGTCATAAGGGTCGCTATACTTTAACTGTAACTGTGGAACTCAGTCGATGTCACCGGAGGGCGATGATTTTCTGTGACGACAAATGTGATTTAAAGCGGCACAAGAGATTTGGGCGATTTCCTGTTTATTTTGCTGATGATGCGCCCTCAAGAACCACTGTGTTTGCTTGTTTTGCGGAATTCAAGCGTGGGAGACGGTTTCTGGATGATGAGGCATGGTGTGGGTCGACTTGTGTATGCCACCACCGTGAACAACATTGCTGATGTACAAGCGATGATGCCAGAGGACGCGTGGATGTCTGGGGTACAGCTAGGAAAGCCATCGGGATCAATCCGCACCATCCTGCGTGAGAACCTCTGCCTTAGAAAAGTTTGCGCTCGCTGTGTACCTCATCCGCTCAGTTAGGACCAGAAAGTAGCTCGGGTGAATTGTTGCCGCACCATGCTTGCCAGGTTTGACGGTGGACGTTCCAGTGCTGTTTGGGAGATCCTCAGTAGTGATGAAATCTGAGTGTACGGTTTCGCCCCAAAGACCAAGCAACACTCGGCTCAGTGGACGGCCGTTAGTGGGACGCCGCCTCATAAATTCCGGCGTGAGCGCAATGTGACCAAGCAGATGGTGGCTGTGTTCGTGGCCATGACCGGTCATGTGGCTACTGTACCGCTCGTACGGTAAGGCAGTCACCGAAGATTGGTCTACCACAAGTGCTGGAAGCTGTAGCCAGGCGTCGTCCAAGGACTCGAGCACGAAGGACCTTACCGCACCATGACCACGCACCTTCACACAGGTCCGGTATCGTTATAGATTTTCTGGCTAGAGAACGCATCCAGGAGGTTGGTCACCCACCCTAAAATCCAGACCTCGCTCCGTGTGACATTTTGGGTTCTCAAATGTCAAGCGCATAATTCGTGTAATCCGCTACGAGTCTCTACAAGCTGCAGTAGATGTCTTCTTTGAGCTGCTTGGAGGGTTGCCCGCTTCGGCATGGTCTAACTGCTTCTCCAAATGGTTTGAATGCATGGAACTGTGCATGAACGCTGGTGGATAGGACTTCGAAAATTGCAATGCTTGTTTTGCTGTAAAAAAAATAAAACTTTTTATGCATCCGGAAACTTATTGCTCTAACGTCATATTATATGGGTGCGAGTCATGGCAGCTGGATCCGCCGCATCCCGTTGATCCCTTTTGTTTAGGCCTCGGCCTGCCCGACCATTCGTCAGAAGCTGCACATTCTTTCGCAAAATATTATCGCCTTTCATGTTCATTGTTCTATATGTTATACTCAAGCCCACGGACACTAATCAAAGCTAAACAAGGTATCGGCAGTGATAGCCTGGCTAATTTGTACACTGGAGTAAGTGTTTGACTTGTGTCATAGGTGCAGGTGGCCTTCGGTTGGCATCTGACCAGTGCTGGTATATAGCGTTTGGTTTGTAATCCACAGCTCACCGGTGCGCACCTTCCTAGGTGCCGAGGGGGGGGGTCTCGCTATATCCCTAGATCGCACGCGGATTTCGGTGGTCGCGGGGCAGGGAAGTGTCCGCACAACGTACTTGCGGGCTACCCATGCCTTCTTTTCTAGATTACCTTCGGCGATGATGTTCCTTGAATTGAAGACCACTTTTGTTCGGCTTTATCGCGTATTTTGGCATCGTTAATTATCGGAAAGCGTCTCAGAATAGTCGGTATTACTCCGAAATTCTTTACTGCAACTTCCAGGCTGTACCTTATTCTACGGAAACTGTCCTATGAGACTCGTATCTATCTACTGATTGGAGTGGGCTAACAAGCGCATCTAGGACTTACTCGAGGTTGTCCGATACAACAACGTATTCGTTCGACTACGACACTTGAAATCAACGACTTTCCACCATCAAGTTGGGTATATTCAATCAAGACTAGATGACAGCAGTATCTTTGTCTTCTCAATCTTATGCATTTTTCCGGTTTCCTAGGTTCATGTAGGGCATTTCACTCATCTCCTTAAGAGTGGAGAATCCTTATTTGTTCGTATGCATTATTTTCCGTCAAATTCGGGTAACTGGTGTTGACATTTTTAACTATAGCTGCTGGCCACTGCTGTGATTCACAGCAATTAGGTTATGTCTGTCAGTTGATTCAATAGCCGCTTGCATGTCAATTCTGTCAATGCCGTCAAATTGTCGTTTTGTCAGCGTCTGATTTGGTGTCATACACAACCTCAGCTTACCACCGGGTCAAGCTGGTTGTCACCATAATTATCTCCATCTCCATTTTCCTTAAGCCTTGTCCTCCTTTTTGTTGCTGTTTCGGCGAATCTCCGAGCGATGAGAACGAGGAATTCGTGAGAGGTCGCCCCACTCCAGAGGACGCAGAATTACGCCGACTTCGTCAAGCCGAGGCGGCTGAGCGCCGAATCGCTTCCAGTCAGGCCCGTGGTATAGCTAATCCTGAAGGAGTTAAGCGCAAGCAACAACTGGCAATGGAGCAAGAACTTCGAGCTTCAGCTTCTCCAAATACTGGCGTCGGTCTAAAGTGGAATGTCGGTTGAACATTCCAATACCTCCGAATGCACGCTTGACTCGTTCTCCATTCTATTGCCTCATCTCAGAGCTGCACCTCCTTTTCCATTGAACTAACTTTCCGCTATGTACAGGCTATTCTTTTTCTTAAACATAAGCACATTGTGATTGGTTCACTGTATTTCTCTCAAATCGGTTGCGTCCCAATTGAGTTTTACTTGCCACATCGTATGTGGTCTTGAAATACCAGACGTATGCAGTTTGGAAACCGAGTTCACCGTCGTGCACAATGCGAATCTACCACCTAGGCAACAGCCAGCTAGCTGCGTTGCTTTGTTTCTCCGAACTGTTGGGTTTCACTAGTATTCGTCCGGTAGCCTGGTCAATTGGGAACGATGCCAGTGGGCTACACCCTGCCAAAGCACAGTGGCTGGATATCGTTTCTATGCATATCGCCATGTCTTAGAGCTACCCTCCTCTATTTGGCTGAGTTGTTTCCGCCTTCATACTGGTTCCAACCTTCCAAACGCCACACAACTTTGCTGACACCATGACTCTCCCATCCACTGATATTTTCCATTAGCTGTACAGTTAGCTAGATGATTAAACCGATTTGCCTCCCACCGGGCCAGATGTGGTCCTAAACTTGTGCAGTGTATTTTCATGCCATGAACGCGTTGCATGACAGGAAGTCATCCATGCTGAATTAATCCGTGAATCTAAATATAATCCCTAAACCACTGAATTATCGGCATACTATAAACCGGTCACCCGGTCGAGCTTCTAATTCATCTATGGCATTACAGTAGAACCGTCTTCGATTGTTTGGATCACAATGGCATCTAATCATGTCACTTCTGATGATCTATACCGAAGACGCCTTAGCCACAAATTGTGGGCAATACTACGGTAATTGTGCTCCCGGATCCTAATTTGATTAACACTTCTCTCGTTTCTCGAAAGCACACTGTCGGTCGGGTAAGAGCTGGCTCTTGTATTTGGAATGGTAGATAAGACCGCTTGGTCAGGTTGGGACTTTTCATGCTTACGTTTGTACCCAAGAGCTCAGAATAAAACAGATCTAACTAGGCGAGAGCTGAAACCAATGGGATATATCAGTGTGTTCGCTGTATGCATGCCCGCATCAACCAGTGAATACGCCTCTGTTGCTTCTTAAGCCGTGGAATACTGTATTGTGGGTGCAAGTCGAAATTTTAATCTACACAATTCCATCGAAACATGATCAAAAATGTCAGCACACTGATCGTTTGTCAAGTTTTCACATAACGCATAACTCAATGAATTGGGACTATTATTATTGTCAGTTGAGAAATATACATCCAACGATGTCTCCAACTGCTTCACTGGGTTTACTTCCACAATATGCCATGGCAAGCTGTTCTAAACGTTAACCACTACTTGTTCAAAGCACAGGGGATGGGGAACTCTTCAAATCTGAAACCACAAACTTGTACGAGTGTCCAGGTGTGCCGCAAGGTATTCGCAAGTGGAGCACTTTTCTCAGCATGGGGAAGCCACCTAGGTGCAGAATGTGGTGGTTCGACTCATACCCAACGATAGGACAGGGTGCACAGTGTATGCCTCTCGCAATTGTCTTCTTGCGGTAAGCGCCACAAACTGGGGATGAGGCTGGTAGCGACGAGTTGGACCCGTTCGGTTTTTCACGCCTCACCTCGGGTAGTCGGGCAATAGGTATTAGTATTGGTAGTCTGGTATTACTCTAGTATTGCGATATAGAAGCAAATGTTGGTAGCTCAGGTATTGGTCTGATAAGTCAAAACAGAAACTGCTTTTGTGCGCTTATAGCATGCGCAGTCCGTTTCGGTGTAGTTTGTTCCTGTTGTCCACGGACTTCAACTCGCAACGTGAGAGCACCCCGAAGTCCTTCACGGCAGGTATGGAATGCTGCAGATGGCCGTCAAGAGTATAGGTTCGACCGCCACCACCCTTCCCCACGCTCATGAATACCGACTTGGATAGGTTGACGGGGAGGCGGACTTCTGCAGAGCACATAGAAAGATGGTTAATGTCTTGCTGAATTAGGCCGCAGTTGTCAGAGTTGCTTATCACTGTCCACATCTTCAGGTCATCCTCAAACGAGGCACAGGCGACCGAAGAAGCTGAGGTAGCAGGCAGGAACAATGTAGGCCCCAGCACCGTGTCTTGGGGCACGCCACTGATCGTAGGAGACCAGTCGGTCTAGTGGCTGTCGACTTGCATCTTCCACTTTCGTACAGCGAGAAACTCGCGGATCCCCTGATGCAATGAGCCACGTACTCTCAGCTTGTGAAGGAAGACGTCATTGTTTACCTTGTCGAATGCTTTGCTGAAATCGATGTGTACCACTGCTCGCAACCACTCATGTCTCGTCACGAGCAGGATGGTGTGCATAAACGACCTGATATAAAGCCGTGCTGTGTGGGCGTCAAATCTTTTGATGAAAACAACTTCAGTAAGCTCTTCTTCACAATCTTCTCCGCATTTTTGGCCAGCATAGGTGTCAAACAAAAATGGCCTGGAGTTGTTTACCTTGCTGGGATTTCCAGTTTTCGGAATCGGCCTTACCACCGACCATTTTCAGTCAATCGGCAACGAACCCATGATCATCGACTTGTTGAACAGGTCAGTCACGGTATGCGGGTTTTTGGTCGATAAGGATTTGAGAATCCATGAGTGGATCCTGTCAGGCGTAGCAGGCTTGGTGCCGTTAAGGTTGGCGAGTAGTTGATACACCTCTTCCACGCCACAATCCAGACTACCGAGTTCGGTAAGGGCAGTGCACGTGGAACTCAATACAGATACATAGTCATTTGTAAAAACGCAATCGAAGTGCGCCGCCAAGACGGACGAACGCTCAGTGCTGGAAGTTAAAGAGCTGTCCGTACACGCACTCTATCACTGATAGGTCACCTGCCAGCTTCAGTTGCCGCTTCACTTACGCAAAGATTCTCTTCGCGCAGCGCTTGCAAGCTGCTCTCTGAAATGCCTGTGCTTGCTCTTTTTCACACTGTTGTATATATTTCGTTGATTTTCATGCACCTAGTCGTCAACCGAACCAGAGATAAGAAATTTGTCCCACAGCTTTTGCTGCCACTGAGCCAGTTTACCGTATTCCTTGTCGAACCAATGCGGCTTGATCGGTCCGACTTTCTAACACTTTAGAGCTATAAACCGCTTCACAGTGTGCTTACTCCATCCTTTATAGCTAATCAGCATGCTTCAACAGATGCTGATTACGGCAGAAATCAATCCACTTGGCTTACGGATCGAGTCAGGTCGTCGCAATCCATTTTTCTACTAGTTGTAAGCAGGCCGCAGTACGTGGAATCGCTACACTGGTGGATCCGTGTTGAAACTAAAAACACTCGTCGTTTGCTGTCTGAGGCCCCAGGATCCGAATATCATAGATATGTTATTCAGAGTTTGTTAACCTCAGGTCTAAGCACGATGGAGTTGAACGCGGTGTCATGCACATCGGTTGGCAGATGTGTTGTGTTGGTCCAGTTTTAATTACCGTTTTAGCTTCGCTTCGACATCACAATACCCTGTGATAAGTTGAACTTCAGGCCAGCATATTCGAGGACAGTTAGAATCACTTATGAGGAGTAAATGAAGGCGACTTATATGATCCCAGAGATGTGGCAGCCTATCCAAACAACGTCTCAAGGGACTGCGGTGCAATGCACCCACGAGTAGCTCTCCGCGCCTGAGCTTGATCGAGCATCACGACTGCCCACATAGGCCATCTTCGTTTTGGTAAGCGCTCACAAGTCTCCTACACAGAGGTCAGATGTAGAGCAATACGCCACCGCGGGCATTCGATAACCTATCACAACTTAAGCACGAGTAGTCACTAAGCTTGACTTCTTGTGTGAGTACCTTATCGTCCAACCACGTCACTGCTAGTGCTGTTACATCTCGTCGCTAGAAAACAATGAAATGGCATTGCTTGTCGCTCTTGTTCACGAGACTGCAGATGTTAGTAAAAGCTATGCGCAGGCCGCGTTAGGAACTACCCAGCGTGCCTGAAGAGTGAGCGACCGACTTATCTGAACTCGCGTGTGTGTTCTAACCATTCGAAAATTTGCCATACTTGGGTTTGTTTCTCCTTCATCGGTTCGACGTTTTTGCTCGATGTTAGCACAATTGAGACGCTATCGGTCAGCGTCAGCTGGATCCATATCTGGACGAATATGCACCCTTTCGCTCCTCAGTCTACTTAGCCGAGACAGGATTAGCTTCGGCGTAGCCTCGTCGGCATAAGTTATCCGCATAGGTCGCTCTTTCTCAACAGTATTTTTGCTGCGGCGGATGACGCCTCATTTTCACTCCGTCCTCACCCACATAAAGAAGCCTATCAAGCACGCTCAGTAAAAACTCGAAATCGTGATCATACCCTTCCATGCGGACTTGGATCCGTGGACTCAGGCGCGTGAAAACAATTACATTTGATCGCCACTTATGGTTTTACGTGGATCTTGTGGGAGGAGGATGGTATCGAGCTGTACTTCTCTTCGTTTCGTGGCCTGTTCTGTCGTCGAGTTTTCCATAGCTCGTCCGTTAGACGTTCATTTACATGTCTCCAAAGATAGCAGGGCGTAAATTCACTAGATCGCTATCCTCAGTTGGTGTCGTACCTCTGTAGAAATTGGGTTCGTAAGCTAATGAATTGTCAGCAGAAGGCTGTGTTTAAACTCGGATGGAATTGTTGTACTGCTTCGCCTGAGACTGCGACCGTCTGTCTTCTCAACCACGCGTCTAACAAACCGAAGGAAATCAACAACCTAAGGCTCGGTAGGCAGGGTATATTCTACAGAATAGATCGTTTCTATTTGTTAATGAACCATACATACTAATCTCGGAAAGCGTGGTCACCCAATCTTCGGTCTCTGGCCGTCAGCCAATGTGGGCTTGTTCCGTTCCATTGGTTTGTCATATTTGGCAGAATCGTTCCACTCCGCTCAAACCCTGGACGCCGGCTTGAATTCGCTGACCAAACAATTCTCAC